ATGACTCGGTTGGCTCCGTTGGTTCCAAGTACAAACGCCAAAGCCCCGCCAGCCATCAACTCTAGATTGCTCAAGGCAACCTCTCCCTTCCGGACGATTCCCCCGGTACCGTTCAGATTCACCACTCCAAACTCCAAGTTTTGCTTTGCTCTCAAAAGGCAGACTTTCGACTTAACTTTGCCATCAACTGTGGCTCCACAAGCAACCCTGCTGAAATTCCAATCTACTCTGTGGAGATGCTTCAGCAACAGCTAGATGAAGCATGCAAGCTTTACCTTCACAACCACATTGCCATCAAAAAACGTAACAAACACTATGTCTGTGTACTGCCTCGTTTGTGTCAGTGGTATGCCGAAGACTTTGGGTCAACCAATTACTCGGTTCTCAAGACATTGGAACCTTATGTGCATCACCACGAACGCAAGATCTTGGCTTCGTCCGACTTTGCAAGTCTTCCCATTACGCCAAAGTACTTATCCTTCAGCTTTGATTGTCGCAAGTTGGTGTCGAAAGAAGAACAATTCTACACTGCCACAGGTACTCTGGCATCTTCAGGGTCGTCTGAGATGTCCACGGTCTCGTCTTCGGTCATGTCAGGTCCAATGACCCTTTCGGATGGTCCAATTTCGACCGATGGCGAAAATGATATCGATAGCCTATTGGATTTCCTCATGGACGATGCTTTGGAGATACCCACAGTTGGCCAAGCATTCTAAAAGAGTTCCGAAAGGTATTGTAGTTCTAGCTTTTCGTGGTTGTATAAACACACACACACACACACACACACCCTTCCCACTGCTCACTTAAAAAACAAGTACTAGTAAAAGTTATTCATTCATTCAACCGCAAATCAACGCAACTTCTTCAGCACATCGTAGCCATGTGGTTGCTATAGTAAATTTCCAGTTCTCCATGCCCAATGCCGTGTCTTTTCAGCTGTTGTTGTCCCAGTTAGTAGCTCTCTTTTATAAAGTACCGGTAGTGGCAAGTACATGCAGGTTGCTGGCGTTGAGGAATGTTGATTGAGTACAAGACTCAAAATTGCAAATGAACAAAATTTGGGCCACTTTGCGAGAGTTTTCCTTCTGTATGCAGCAAACCTCTCATCATCTATATTCCAGAGCCAGTGTCTTCTTCGGTTTGCTCCATTTTAATTTCAGGCTTGACGTGAGGGTCTACAACCTCTTCTGCCGCGGTAGGAAGCTCAAAGCCTGCCCACGTCGATTCAATCCATGTCTGGTAGTCTGCAGATTCACCATATACTTCCTTTTGCCTCTTTTCGAGACCCTTGGTGGCACCTAGCACGACAAAGTCAAGTCCCAAGGCACCCACCACACTGGCAGCTAGATATCCCACCAGCTGAGGGGTTGGAATGCCGGCTCCCTTGCTGGCAATGGCGGCCACAATGGCAATCAATCCATTGGATGTCCAGGATACAAACTCCCCGGAATAGTTGGGGTGCCTGCAAAGGGAGTAGATCCCTCCCGTGACCAAGTGGTCTTCTCCCTTGATGGCCTTGACAAAGCTCTTGTTAAAATCACCCAGAGCAGCAAAAATAAAACCGCCCCACGTCGAAGCTACCAATCCTTTTAAAACTTTGACAGTCCATGCCGGAATTTGAGACGATGCGACTCTGGACGAAATCAAGAGGGGTGCACAGAGCCCAAAGTACAGTCCCGCACACGACAATACAAAGGGTGCTCGTTGGAGTCGACCTCCCCGTGCTTTGGCCTTGTCTTCAATGCGCTCGACCATGTCTTTTAGTCGTTGTGTGCACAGCTGTCGATAAAGCAGGAAGATGGACAATCGAACGCCGTAAAACATGAGAGCACCGGCTTGCCAAATGGCCCACGAACTGCTTTGGCCGACCATGAGTGCCTTGTAAATCAAAAAGGACGTCAATGCGGTGGCCATTCCGTAGGCGTATGACACGCCATATTCGCTCTTCCAGAATCCCAGACAGGTGGGGAGGAAACAGGATAAGAAAATCTTTTGAGACAGAGGAAGGGCACACAGAGAGGCGGGGAGAGCTTGCATGCGGGTAGTAGTACTAGAATCTTGTGCGCTTCGTTGCAAGGAAGTAGATTTGGGGAGTCCATGGTCGATTGGTTTTCGTTGGACTTCAAGAATGCCCGGAACTCCTGGAACTCGGGCGATGGGACGCTGAGATACAAACGCTGCCGATTGCTGAGCTCCCAGCAAAACCAGAGACAGAATCAAACGTTGGGCAAGGCACTTCCTCATTGTCATCGTCATGCACAAGGATACTGGCTACCTACTGGTAGTAGAAGCACAAGATCAAAAGTAGTGTGGCACCCATGAGAGGACGACGACGACACCAGCCTTGACGGAGGTGTCAAAGGAGAGACTGAAGATCTTTGAACATCATTTACCAATAGATGAGGTAAATGATTCTTTCAACAAAGACCATTATGACTCCGAATTTACCGGACTTACCTGAATACAACTGACTCACTCGCCCTTCGCAGAAAGATATTTTGTACGGCACATCCGGGTTAGATGACAGGGTTCCGCGAAATACCAAAGACACAAGGACTCAAAATGACCACCACCCATCGCTGTTTGGACAGCAAACTCAGCTGGTTTCTTCCTCACAGTCAGTTGGACTAGTACATTGTCATGTCGGGTTCAGGTAATAAAAGGCAGCTCACGGGGTCGATTAGGAACATTTATGGCAGAGACCAAGAGATCCAGATTTTATCACAAGGCCTGGATCAGATTGGGACGACGGTTCCGTTGATTTTTGTGGGAGGCAAGAGCGGCACGGGGAAATCGGCTCTCATAGAACACGTCTTAAAATCATCCAAAGGTCAAGCATGGCTCATTGGAACATGTAAATTCGAACAAGCACCCAATCCCAATCCGCATGGCGTTTTGTTGACAGCTCTTGGCAAGATTATTAGGGATATTCTACAGCTACATCCCGGTTCCAGGGGGTTGTACAGGAAGAAACTGGTGGACGCATTTCAAGCGGGCGAACTCAGTCACCTTACCGAACTCCTGCCGGAGCTCGGAGAGTTGCTGGAAACCAAAAACAAGAAAACTTCCATCAAGAGTTTGTTGAAACAGGGAGGGAGGGCATTTTCCATACGAAAGCTAAAACAAAACAGTTATCATTCTCGGGGAGACCTTGAGCGCTTCAAGTTTTCCATGCGGCTCCTCTTACGAACACTGGCCAGTGTGGACAAGACTGTGATTTTATCTTGTGACGATCTGCATTGGATTGACAAGACCAGTCTTGATGTATTGCAAGCAATCTTGCTGGACAATGAACTGAGAAACCTGGCATTTATTGGATCGTTTCGAGACGACGAAGTTGATGGTACCGAGAATACTCATGGCCTCTCCAACTTCCTGGAGGCCGTCAAGTCAAGCTCGCGGGCAGCAGGTTGCCGACATATCTCTGTCAACAGCCTCCCTGTGACAGATGTACAGTCATTGCTTGAGGCTGTTTTAAAGACAGCGGATGGAATTGAAGCGTTGACAGAGTTTGTGTACCAAAGAACTGGTGGAAACGTGTTTTACATCAAGCAGCTACTTGATAGCTTGGAAGCGAGAAAGCTCATGCAATACACCTACTCTTCCACTTTGTCAATGCTGCAATGGACTTGGAACATTGAATCTCTCAAGAGCAAGACTACGGTCTCGCAAGATGTTGCGGAAATTATCAAGGCAAACATCGACTTGCTTTCTGACAATCAGCGTCTCATATTGGCACGGTGTGCTTGCCTTGGCTTTCGATTTCATCAGAGGTATCTTGAAATCTTTGAACAAAACAATGGAAACGAAGAAGAAAAGCAAATTGAAACGAGTATCCAAGACTACACCGAAGATGTCAACGTCTTAATAGAGGCAGGAATGCTGGAAGAAGTTGACGAAATGCTGAAATTCAGCCATGATAGTATATTAGAAGCTGCTTTACTCCTCATTGCAAATGATGCTGAACGAAGCCAACTTCATTTCCAGATTGGCCATGAACTCTACAACCGACACTTTGCCCCTGGAGTGGATGCCAGCATGAAGGAACAAGAGCATACAGACCAAATTCTTTTCCTGTGTGTAGACCAGTTGAATTCTGGCATTGACGCCATTTGTCTGTGTGATGAAAGGGGCATCCAGTTAAGCCTGGCAGAGCTCAACTTCCAAGCTGCCAAGAAAGCAGCTGAATTCTCCTCGTTTGATCATGCTATGGTCTATGCCAAAAATGGTATTGAGTTGCTGGAGAAGGAAAGCTGTTGGAAGGAGAACTATGATCTGGCCCTGGGAATGCACACAATATTTGTTCAAATGAGCTTCTGCACAGGGTCCAATGACATGTTAGAACAAATGGTGGGGGTGATCACGAGCAACTCAAAGAATGTTGTCGATTCAACCAAAGCCTGGCTTGTGCTTATTGAGTACCTTGGATTTGGCAACAGATTTGAGGAGATGCTCCAAACCATTCTTCATGTGTTTGAACTTGCAGGTGAGGAACTTGCTCCAGACCCTACTATGGAGTATGCCAGGACAAAGTTTGAACAGACAGCTGCAAAACTCAACAAGCTCACAGATGACGACATCCTAAATCTACCCACGAGCGATGATCCCCTTAAGGAATTCTGCATTCGTGTCCTTGGGTCAGCACATTCTCCTGTGAATCATCTGAAAGGCCCGAGGGCACAAATAACTTATGCATGCAAGATGGTTGATTTGACATTGGAGCATGGACTTGGGAGATCTTCTGCAGATGCCTTTTCAGTCTTTTCTTCGTCCATCCTGTCAGAATTCTACGAGACCCGCTTAGCAGCTCGTGCAGGTGCCTTGACGTTGAAGCTGACTGAAAAACTCCACCTGACTGAGAGGGCTGCAAGCGCAAGAGTGTGTGCTGCCAATCAGTTTACTTGGCACAAACCCCTGTCTCTTTCCCTTGATTACCTCATGGAGACCTACCAAATGGGGCTTCGAAGTGGTGAGGTGGGAGCTGCATGCTTGTCAATTGTGGCCTATGGATTCTCGTTCTATTATTGCGGCTTGAATCTGATGCCGCTGGCCAAGGACTTGGGTCAGTTCATTGTCAAGATGCATTACTATGGCCAGACTTCAACCTTGCTGTTTGCGCTGAGCAACTACCAGTGTGTGTTGAACTTGACTGGCCAGTCTGATTCTGTACTTGACATTGGTGGTGGTGAATCACAGAAATGGAGAAAAATTGCAAATTGGAATGGAAAAACCGGTGGGCAGTCAGACCTTTCGTATTTGCTACAAATTGCCATCTTCTGCAGAAACAAGAAAATTGCAGTGGAGACCAAGGAAAAACTTCTAGTCAGTGACAAGGTCAACTCATCAGCTGTGGTCAATGGTGCCTACTACTTTGGACTTGCAAGGGCTTTCTACATGGGAATTGTGTCGTATTGGCAATACCACACATGCTCCAAGTTGAACTTGGCCCGAAGGCAAAAACTGCTAGGCGAGGCAAAGAAGTTTCATGATATGGTGAGGTCATGGGTTGTGGAGCACGGCAGCATCAATCTGCCCCAAAAACTGTTCATCCTGGAAGCTGAACAACTCAGAGCGCAGGGAGTGAAAGGTGCCGATTTGAAAGCTGCATATGAGAAGGCCATTGTAGCCTCAACAAAATCAGGCTTCACCCAAGATGCAGCATTGGCAGCCCACTTAGCAAGCGAGGCCATACCAAAGGAAAGGGAAAACTTTTTGCAGCAGGCTCGAAGCTCATACCTCCGCTGGGGTGCTACAGGCGTGGTTCAGTACATTGACAGGGATCTGGTTGTGGAAGATCAGTCTTCTGGGGAGATGGAGGAGTCATCTTTTCGTGCCAGACGGCGTTTCAGTGAAGCCATGTTAAGGGAAGAGGCGGCCATACCGCTGCAAACGAATCCAGAGAAACTACACATTGCCAACCGAGACAACAGAAACTCCATATCTTAGGTTTTTGCAAGTCGGATCCTGTGGACGGTGCAGTTTGGTTGGCACCCAAAGATAGATTTCATCGTCCCAACTAGCTAGCTAGACCAACATTAGTACTAATATTATTATTATTATTCACGAGCCGCAACATCAACCATGACGCCACCCTCATATTGTCCGTCTTGTTGAGGAGGAAAGAGGATGAAGGACAATAATGAACTAGGCATCCGTCCCTTCGAGTGGTTGACAGATTCTGCTTCGGTTGTACCTTTAGTCAGGGCGGCAGTTGCCTCGCCGCCATCATCAGAGAGACACGAGGCGAAGCTACTCAAGATTCTGCATGTCGGCAGCGGCAGCTCTGTGCTGGGCGAACATTTGGTCGAGACCATGGGAGATGATATTGAGCGAGTCGTCAATGTGGATGTAGACACGGAAACATTACACAGAATGAAGCAACGATGGGACAAGGTCGCCAAAGATACGGCTACGAGAGACAAGCTCGACTTTTGTACGGCAGATTTTGCAGCTACTAAAGGCGTTGTAATAATCGAAGAATACCCATCTGGTTACTTTGACATTTGCATTGACAAGAGCACGCTCGATTGTACATTATGCAGCGATTCCGCCAGCGCAGGACTCTTGACCGAGGTTTATCGACTTTTGAACCCTTCTGGAGGAATCTACATTTGCATCTCCTTTCATCACCTGGACTTGCTGCAGCCACTACTGCAAGATCTACCTGGAGCTCATTGGGACGTTTCTCATACCATCATGCAAAGGCAAGTGGAAGATCTTATTGGAAACAACAACAACAACAACAACAAACCTGATGGGGTAGCGGAAGAAAAAGGCAAACAGGACGCAACTAACAGTTTATGTACCAAAAGCCAAGGTGCTTGGGCATCTGGATCATTTGAACCAGACGAACAATACCGACGCACGGTGAATGTTCTTACTTGTCGTCGTAGGCTACCAGCAGATCCACTGGAGAAATCCTGTGCCATACTACTAGACAGAGAGAAAGTCAAGACACATATCAACTCTACCAATGATTTATGGTTCCAGCACCACAATCCCATGCTGACATCCAAGCGAAAAGAGACAATTCATTGCCTCTTTCAACAACAACAAGGGGAAAGCGAAGAAGGGACTTGTGACCTCGAAACTGCCTACAGCATTCTTTTCACCGAGGCCGAACGGGAGCTCCTGACGTTTGATTTGTTTCTGGAAGACTGGCAAGCATGGATTTCACAACAACAACAACAACAACAACAAAAGGAGGACCCTGGCTTTCCCAACGACAAAATGTCGGTCGAAACTGCACTGGCTTTCCTGGAAGAAATGCAGTGAGGCATTGTCGGTTTATATAAACTCTTGACCTCTTTTTGCTCTCCAATCAATCAGCACTGATAGCTGCGGTAGTTGCCGCTACGCTCGCAGGTTCCAGAAAGCGACAAGCTGGACAAGTATGACCTTTCGTGTACTGTCCAGAATGCTTCTATCAACGCGCTCCGGGGCTACCGGCATCTGCATCCTGTATTGGTGCAGATCAGCACCGATCGAGGGTTGTTTACCTCGACTTGCGCATCGGCGTCATCCGCGATTCCACTTGAGGGCTTTTGAAAGTAGTTGAAAGCAGCGTCATCTTCAGACAGGGTTGGCATCTAGCTAGCTAGCTAGCTAAATAACCGAGCCACCGCCGGTATCGGAGAGGGGAATTGCAGCAATTGAGAAACGCATGATGCTATATAAAAGATTATGATTTGGCTATAGCATGAAGTATCCTGATATGCTTGCTTAGCCACCTCTACTAGCCATGAATATCATCGAAGCAACATGCAAGAGCTAGCTGGGTGGAAAGATCTGAAACGAGAAAGCCAGTTGTTGGGTCCATGCACCTCTTTCAGGTACTGTCCGAATCGCTGTGCAAGCTGTCGCGACGCATGTTGTTTCTCTTGTTCTCGGAAAGCTTATCGAAAACAGGAAGATTGGCGAACTTAATCGTCGGAAACAAGAAGAAGGTGAATGCTATATGCAAACATGCAACATCACGGTGGAACGGTCAGGGCAGGGCTAGTTTTGAGGCCAACTTGTTGGGTGCGTCGTTAGTCAAGCTGAATGCTGCAGTCGGAAGATGGAATCGGGAAGTATCCACTCGTAGAAAATTGGAACAAATAATCGGAAAGGTACGAAGGAGGTGGGAAATTGGAAAAGGAAAGCTTGGGCAAGCTGGCATGAAGGAGCTTCGGGAATACTTGATTGAAGTGGATTGTCGATTGTGGTGATAAAAGTCAAGTTGCCTACCAAGGTTTCGGTAGCCTCGGAACTGGTACACCTTTCATGGTAAGCCAGTCAAAGACATTGTAGGTTGTTAGCAGAGCTTGGGCTCCCAGTCGTGAAACCGGATAAAATGAGTACTTGGGTGGGAATTCCCTTTGAAAAAGCCGCCAAGTGTCGTCATCAATTCCCAACATGGCGTCTGCCAATACGGAACCTGCCATTACAGTAGGCACAATTCCATGACCGCCAAAGCCAGTAGCGTACCACACACCGCCATCACTAGGCTTGCCGGGGATGTACTTATTGTCATATCCTTCATCTCGACCAATGAGAGGAACTGCATCTCTGGAAAATGCCAGCTTGCCACCCCATACATGGTCAAATTTGACATTTGCCAATTGCGGGTAGATTTGTTTCAAAGCAAGCCGAAGTCGATATTCCGCCAGCCATTGTGGGATGGGATACGCATCTGCCAGTGATCCAAAGAGAATACGACCATCGTTAGTCCGTCTCCAATAGTTGAGGCTCACAAAATCGTCGCCGCAGAGAGGCGCTGGGGTGGTTTTCGTTTCGCGGTCGTCCTGCTGATCGGCCAGGAGCTCATCCGAGACTCCATCTTGCAAAGGGCATTGGTCTCCCAAGGGAGCTGTGGATGCCATCCATGTATAAATGGGTGTCACGGCATTGGCCAGTCGCCGGGAGAGCTGTTTGGAAACTAACTCGGGCCCAGTGCACAAGACCACTGCGCATCCAAAAAGAAGAAGAGTTTGTTAGCCAGCGAGTCCTTGATTTTTCCGTCTGGCAAGTGAGTATTGTTATCCATTTCGATCTTCTTACCATGCTGACAGGTAACTTGGGCTCCCGCGTCCGTAGTCACGACATATTTCGGAGACTCTGAATTGTCATTGCTATTTCCTACCCTGGAGGTGGATTCTGCTGGAATAGCATCAATCTGTGTCACTTTGGTCTGTTCACAAATGCGGACTCCCCATTTCGTTTCGACGACCCGTGCCAAGCCACTCGTCAGGGCAAATGGATCCACTCCCGAGCAGGAAGGATCGTATTCTCCACACTTGTACAACTTGTTTGTGTTGGGTTGTCCTAGCACTTGTCGTACTTGGGAGGCACTCAGAACGTGGCAGCCGTCATCTTCTTCCTCTTCATCATGTTCATCATCTTCGTAGAGACTGGCTTCCACGAGTCCAGCATCGACCCATCCACAATCAATCTTGTAGCGTTGTACAATGTCTTCCTTGAGTCTCCGTGCTGCCTGGTAGGTCAATTCATAGACTTGTTTGGCAATTTCACGGGAACCACAAATTCCTTCCAATCCTTCTTGCGGTACTTGAATTCCAGGGACGACCAATCCTTTGGATTGCCCCGATGCCGATTGACCAATGCGGTTGGCATCCAGGACCAGGATATCACCATTAGCGCGACTGCGTTCCGCCAATGCCAGAGCCGTGTGCAGCCCGGCCATTCCCCCACCGACGATGACGCACTTGTAATGATGGTCGCTGCTGGATTGGAGTGGAGATCGATCCTTGGCGTCGGCCACGGGCGACTTGTCATTCCAGTACGTTCGATCCTTTTTGAAGGGATTGTTGTTGGGCGCTATGCAATCCAGTCCACACACCAAAACGACCCCCGAGACTCCCAGTGCCACTTTGAAGGATGTGGAAGAGCCATACTGTGTGGAATGTTGGCTTTGAAAAGAGCGCGTAGTAGCAGTAGTTGTAGTAGAAGAGGTTTTGGAGGCATGCTTTGTGGGGGCAATCCTGGGTGCGCTCAAGGGGCCACGGAAAACACTGTTGAAGGATCTCTGCTGAACAATCTTGCCATTGGCAGGATGGATCTTGGGAGCAGTGACAAAGCCCTTGGGTAGAGGAAACCTACTCAAAGCACCTAACGTGCGGAAGGATGAAGCGGGCATCATCATCGTCGAAAGGAAGGAAGAAGGAAGAGGAAGAAAAGTGAAGGTTTGACCGTTGGTGGGAAAAGGTGGACCGTCCTGCCAAAATTGCAAAGACACACACCTGGCCACGTTCAAAAGCAGCTCAAACTGGCTTAATTATGGCTCGTAAGCCGGACGTCATCGTCGTCAGTCCTTCCCCCGTCAAAGATTCCCAAAGCATCGACGCAGCAGCAACAGCATCATCATCTATCTATCTTTCAATACAAAATCAAGGCCGACCATGAACGCCCTTCGACGAGTGTCCGCTCTTGCACCACGGGTAGCTGCCCGAGCACAATATGTGCAACCGACGCTTGGTTCCAGTGAGTAGTAGCAGTCTCGGGAGAATTTGGATAGAGTTTGGAGATTGTAGAAACAGATCTTGGTGACCATGGGAAGCGATCGGCTGTTCTACGTGGCGGCTACGTAGGATGCAGTAGGGATCGTAGTCTCATCTGGGGCATGGGAATGTTTGCTTGGATGGATGGATGCTCTGTATTTTGTGTCTGCTTCTTGACGGCAGCTTGGGGGAATTTCTGGAATCGAGAAGACTAGATTATCCATCTGTTTTCCGTCTCTCACTTGGCTGTTACTACTTTTTGTCACTCATTTCACATTCTCATTACAGCTGCTGTGAGAGCGTTTGCTGGCTCGGGTGCGGCTGTCCCGGAAGCATCCAAGGTTTCTGGACTCCCCGCGGCCCATGAACTTGGAAGTGTCGACAATGGGTTCTTTGCCGACCGTGTCGACAAGGTGAAAGAGCCCGAGCGTCGTGCCTTTACCTACTTTATGTTGTCGGGTGTCCGATTCGCCTACGCGTCGGCGGCAAGATTGTTGGTCATCAAGCTCGTCTCGTCCATGAGTGCCTCGGCCGAAGTCTTGGCGTTGGCATTCTCCGAGTTTGACTTGTCCCAATTGGAAGTCGGAAAAGCCGTCACGGTCAAATGGCGTGGAAAGCCCATCTTTATCCGAAAGCGATCGCAAGAGGAAATTGAACGTGAAGCAGCTGTCCCCATGGAATACCTTCGTGACCCAGAAACAGACGAAGAACGTGCCATCAAGGCGGAATACATTATCGTCATTGGAATCTGCCCTCACTTGGGATGTGTCCCACTATGTGATCAAGGTGAATTCAATGGATGGTTCTGCCCCTGCCATGGATCCCACTACGATTTGAGTGGACGTATTCGCAAGGGACCTGCTCCCCTCAACTTGGAAGTTCCTCCCTACAAGTACATTCAGGATGAGTTGATTCTGATGGGTTAAAAAGAGCTTCAGGCAAGAGTCGTGTCCACGCGACAATACAGTACGTACCATATAGCTTTGCTTAGTTCAGTTAGATGGTGGCATAATTCTCCTTAAATTAATTGTACCTGGACGAGTGGCATCACTTCATTCACCGTAGCTATTTGCCCTTTAGTATACTGATGATAGCTGGAGACAGGGATAGTGTAGACAAAGCATAGATCAATGGCAGCCACCATCTGGCAGACCAGGGAAGTATCGCCTCTTCCTCAAACGTACTCTGAAGCAGAAGATATCGTTGCGAACATGTATACTTTGTACTCTGTCGACAAGTTACTACATGTAATCTGAATCCGTTAGGAGTATTACATGTTCAGATTCTTTTTTAGCACAACAATAAACCAATCATTTTTACAGTGCTATTATTGTTTTAGACAGAAGATCCCACAGTGATTATCGACCCAAGCCATACGCCTTGAGATGAGGCGCAGCACCAACCGGTGTGTCGCTTCGTTTGACGAGCTCCCGGAACACCGCAGCTTTGGCTCGACCCGTTCGTGGCCTGTGCATACTGCCCCGAAGAGAATGTTGACTTTCCCGAAGAGAATGTTCACCACTGTGTCGACTACTGTTTCGGAGACCGCCACTGCCATTGCTGTGTTGACTGTTACCACACAAGGAACCGTTCTTGGGCATTCGGATAATCTCTTGAGAATCGCGTCTCTTCATTCGACCAAAGCTCAACCTGCAGCTGAGCCGTTCAATGGCAACGAACTGGTCGACGCCCTCGGAAGGCGTTCTCTCAAACAACGCCAAACACTTTTTGGTGCCCCCGGAAAGCTTGGTCGCCAAGGGATCTCGTCCGTGATGCACGGACGACGAAAGGGCGGACGGTGGCCCCTGTGGCAACCGGCTCTTGGGAGCTGTCGTACAGGATGAGGACAAGCCCGCTGGCATGTTTCGGGTCCTTCGACCTTGTGGTGGTTGTGGCGTCTCTTGCTGTGGTTCGGGTACAGGCTCGGGTATCGGTAGGGCGGCTAAATCCGCGCTAAATGAATCCTCACTGATGCCAGTATCATCCGCTGTCTTGACCATCATTGCCTTGAATTCTTCAAAATCAATCTGGCCATCACCGCTCTCATCTACCTGACGGATAATTCGATTGATTGCTTCACCGTTCATAGTTTTGTCCACAGACTGAAAGTAGGACATGACTTCCACTAGCTCGTCTCTGGAAATCACTCCACTGCCGTCGGCATCAAACATGTTGAACGCGTGTTTCAATTTGTCGTTGTTGAGGAGATCCTTTTCGTTCATGGTGGCCACGAGGAATTCCGAGTACTCAATGTATCCGGTGTTGTCGTAGTCAATGCGTTTGAACATGGCCTCGACCATTGCTGGATTGAGCTCCTTACCGAAAACTTCCTTGTATCCGGTTTGAACGTCCTCCTTTGAGAGTTTGCCATTATTGTTGATATCCAACGCCCGAAACAATTCGTCAATGCGTTTCTTTTCTTCTTTCAAGACCAACTGCGAAGCAATAAAGGCACAGGTGGCCTGTTTCAATTTGTTTTGTGCGTTGAATCGCTCCAGGTTGTAGAGTGCCTCCATGGCGCGTTCATTGGCCGAATCACGGTGCTTGATGCGTTCCGAGGCATCAATCCTCGACTGCACAATCCACGGATGTTTGAGTGCCTCGTCGGCAGTGACACGTTCTTTGGCATCGAATTCTAGCAGCGTGCAAATAAAATCTTTGGCTTGCTCGGACACATCCTCCCATACATCTTCGTCAAATTCGAATTCTCCACTGAGGATTTCTTCCTTGATTTCTTCGTCCGAGTGCCCATCAAACGGCGCGTATCCGGCCAGCAAGACATAGGCAATCACCCCGCAAGACCAAATGTCTGCTTTGAAATTGTGTCGCCCCATGAGCACCTCTGAGCAACAGAGATAAAACAGTGAGAAACGTCTGTCCCATAGTTTTGCCTGCAAATATCCTGCTGATCAGATCGTACATACCTGGTGCAATGTAGTAAATGGACCCTACCAAATCCGTCATTTCCGTGTCCTTTTCCACACACTGTGCCAATCCGAAATCAATGACTTTGATAGAGTCCAAGTCTTTGTCTTGTTCGAGCAAAATATTCTCCGGCTTGAGGTCTCTGTGTACCACGCCCTTTTGATGACAGTAATTGATGCTTCCCAATAAATGCCTCATGAGTTCCGCGGCATCCTCTTCAATGAAATTTCCCCACTCTTGAATTTCATCAAACAGCTCTCCTCCTCGGCAGATTTCCGTGACGATATAATAGTTCTTTTCGTCACTGAACATTTCAATTTGCTTCAGAATATTGGGATGATCCAATTCCTTGAGAATATTAAACTCCTTGATGAGTTCGTCTTCATCGGCCACGCCAAAGGGAGACAACCGAGACCGGTCCAGAATCTTGACGGCCCGTTCAATTTTGGTTTCCTTGTGGACACACGCAAAGACTTCACCGTATCCCCCCGCTCCCAATCGTTCCCCAATTTCGTAGACGTCCGATATCGGCGTGTCGATGCGTTCCTTGACAAAGTCCTTGGCGGAAAACGTAAACACGTCGGTACTGCTCGATCGCAGTGTACCCTCGCGGCCTGTGTGGGGCGTACACAAATCGTGGACGCTAAAGCTGGTGGTTTTGGCCGTCATGGTGGAGGTAGCTAGTAGCTAGTGTGGCTTTTCGGTTATCGTCTATCTCTTGGTTTTGTTTTATGTTTGGTAACCTACCGTATCAATCTTGCGTCTTTTGTGAAGTATTTTGTATTTTGTGATGCGCTTCCAGATTATTTCTTGGCTCTGCGAAGTTCCCCGCAGACCCAGCACTCACAGACAGTCGCGGGTTTTTGAAAGCTTCAGGCAATGTTACGATGACTGGTGCCACACATCAATTAACGGCACGAAGCATTGATAGATTGGGGGCACTTAACATCAACTCTTGGAGTGACTGAGTCTTCCGGACTCCTAAGTTGCCTGGATCATCCCTCAACACTACCATCTGGTTTCTGTGGTGGTACCAGGTACCATGTTCAAAGATAATTTTTGGGGTGCTTTAGCTGTGCTGTGTCTATCTTTTTATCTTTTTGGCGCTTACCTCCATCCTACCAGTACTTGCACCTGATACCGGTAGCTATGTGCTGCTACCATATGTGCATAGCTACCGGTAGCTTGCCAGTCAGAGCGAATAATTCAATTATGCCGTAGGAGAAATGTAACCAGGTACAGGCACTGATCCATAGCTCTTACTGCACTACTGGAAAATCAACAGATACCGGTGTGATACTAGTATGCTACAAGTGAAATAGTGGCTGGGAGTCGAGTGCAAGCTAGGAAACGAGCAGCCAGATGTGGGTAGCCAGGTTGTTGCAATCCAAAGAACATTGGCGCCGACGATGTCATGTCCCCTATGTTGTGGACCAACCTGCTCCTTGAAGAGCAAGGAATAGGACTTCGCTAAATCTTCCTTGTTGGCGCGCCGAACACATGCATGAAAACGCAAAGTGCATCCAGCTGTAATTTTTAAAAATAGTAAACTTTGCCTTTCAATGCCTTCGTGCATCATCGGCTAGTAATATAGACAAACAAAAGCGAGCGTAGCAAATAATGCATACAATGTGAACACCAACATCACAATAGATTTTCATCAAACCAATGCCTCAAATCGATCAAGCCTACTTGCGCTCGGAAGAGCGGCGTCGTCGAGTGGGATAGACCCCTGCCCCAGAGTCCCGAGATGTTGTAGCGTACACTCCAGTTCTATCCACTCGAAAGGTACCACCAATGTTCACGTGGTGGGACATTCGCTTCAGACTTCGCCTCACTGATTCGGCTGCCCAGCTGGAAGAATGGACCTGATCCAGGTACATGTCTTCGTCCTCAGTCTTCACCAGAACTCCAGCGGGTTGCCTTGGAGCCTTTCCATCTCGTTCCAAACGACGCATCCGTCGCTCATTTTCTCTAGAACACGTGTCTTCTCGGTCGCATCTGTGCAAAAGAAAATCAAAAGTAGGAAGCTTTGCAATGAGAACAAGACATCATACGAAAAGATACGTGTGGGCTGGTACACTTACGAACTGTAGAAACTGTCAGCAATCGCAGAAAAGTCGCGCTTGTGACCCGATAGTTTGTTGCTTTCGTTCTTTTGTTTGTCGTTTGTGGCCATGGCTTCCGCTGTTCCCGTGAGCAGTGTGGGAATAATGGAGGTTGTTGGCCCTTCGAGTGCCTTTCGAAAGACAGCCACGTCGTAAAAGCCACGCGGCCCGAATCTCAGAATGATGCTCATGGCAACCTCTCGAAGGCGTGGAAGCGAGTTGCCTGTCAACGAGTGCTGTTGGGTACACGCAGATAAAGCATGAACAACGTTTGCATTGCTGACCAGCTGGGACGCCGCGACCTCGCACATGAGCGAGAGACGACGCAAACCAGCCTCCTCCGCCAACGAGATGCCCGCCAACGCAACCGACAAAGTCACCTGTGGGGCACCATTGTTTGGCCATCGCCTCGAAGACGAGTACGGTGCCACTGGACCATCGGGCTTGACCGGTTTGGTTCGACACGCTTGTACATATGCATCGTGTCCCAAAGGAATGACACGGTTGCTGTAGCAATACTCCAAGAGCAGCTTCATGGCCTGAGGAGAATGCTTGGAGATGGTGACAACCAACTCATCCGACTGCGTCGATTCCTGGGAAATAAAACTTTTCCTCACCACACGATCTCGCCAGTGGCCACCAACAGCTCCCATCGAGTCCGCTTCGGACCCATCTTCATTGTTGTCGTCGTCCTCAATTTCGGTGGCACCGCCCCGGTAAATGGCTTGTGGTCTATTCTGAGGCATTGGAAATGGAAGCACTCCCATTTCATCGTCATCTTCGTCGTAATCTTCCGTGTCGCCACTGCGTCTGGGACGCTGTCCGTCTTCATCTGGCATTGTGGAGCTGGTGTTGGCGACAATGTGTCCGGTAGGGAAATCAATTCTATTTTGGCTCTGAGGCGAATTGGCCGCATCCTCCTCTGCTTTGATGACCACATCGCTCACATTATTGATGTTGATAATGCCATCCGCTGGTGGATCCTCCGTCACGAAGCTACGATTGACACGTTCTTTTCTCGCCGTATCAATCAATTCTCCCAGCCATTTGCATCGCTTGCCCAAAACAACGGAATGTCCTCTCACTTTGGAGGTAAGTACTTGTTGTGGAAACCCATTGTCGTCTGGGATTTTTCCTTGGCAATCAAACACCACATCGCAATACTTGTTGGCACCGCCACTGGGCATTAGCTGCTGTAGCTGTTTGAAGAATTCCTTGTCGGAATCACGTTGTAGACGTTTCAGCTCCGCCTGATTTTGTCGGTCCGCAGATCGTTCTTTTCGTACTTTGATTCGATCGTTCTTCATCAACGCCGAGGACTCTGCAGTATCCGATCCATTCAACAATTGGCAGTGGAAGAATTCCAAGTCCGTATCCTCCACTTCGTGCTTGGAATGCTCATTGCAAAACTCCGCAAAGCGACGAAAGACAGCGCCCAATTTCGTGTTTTTGTCAAGTCCAATAGAGACTACCACGCCTTCTTTCAGAATGGGATGTTTGGGAGCAATGTCGTCCATGTTTTCGCCGCATACAATAAACAATAGCTGTGGAAGAAAGCAACAAACAGACGCGTCAGAAAGCACGCACGTAGAAAGCCTACCAGAGCCTACACCGAAACGGATCCCGAGACGCACCAAGTCACAATCCGCCGAACGACGTCGGGCGGCAGCGGTGGTGGAGCTATCATCGGCACTGAAGCTGTTGGAGGAACCAGCCACGCCACCATCGAGGACTCCATCGGCGTCTCGTTCAATGCCGTCGTCCTCCTCCTCTTCATCGTCCACGTTGTCATCGTGAATCTCTACGTTGCCACCCTGCTGTTGTTGCTGCCCCGCCAAGAGCAGCCCTTCGGCATCGTGATTATTGTTGTTATTGTTGTTCATACTGCTTCGATCAACGATATGATCCTCCACAGCTGAGTTGCTTGTTGTTCTCTTCTGCTGTGATAAAAGCAACAGTCCTGTCTTCTATGAACAGCTGATGAACGGCCACTTCGGTACGAATGAATTCGGCGTTGGCGGTGAGCAGGATCCTTTCTCAATGCCAGTAGTTGTTGATGCTGTTTGTTGTTTGTTGACGGCTTGACGGTGATGCTGCTGTTGTGCTGTTGTTCCTGCAGGTCGGCGTTCTAGCTAGCAAGCCAACCAAAACTATTTTCAGCTTCGGGGACATCGACTATAAATCCTAACATAGAAACGGTTTTCAAATCATATTTATCAAAAACCGACTCTAAATTATATAGGGTATTTTTCAGAATCCGACCCAATCTTAGTTATGAGTCCATTTCGAAACCAAATCCGACTTAAATCCGTCCATGAATCGAATCAGTTCGGTTTTAATTAATAAATCGTTGTCGACTGAGCTTATGCACGACTGAGGAACATTCGGTGGGTGCACAAGCAAAACAAAGGGGGCATGTAGAATATGCAGCCACTTTCCTATCCACTTGTGTTGCTTGTTGGCTTCCTTGACTATCTCTTAATGGCTCTCTCTCCATCTCATCGTCCGACTGTCGAGGTGAGGGAAGTGAGGGTGAGCTTTGTCTTGTGTTAGGGAGAAGCTGCCGATGTATTTTTTGCCTGACAAGTTTTGCTGTCGTATTTTTGCAGCCACATTTTAGGAAGAGATTGAAGACGTTTAGACAACCCACTGTCGGTTCCTCTAGGTATCAAAACTCGCTCACGATAACTCGTACAACCGTAAAGGAAGATGGAGGACGAGCCACAGGACGCCAACCTTTGGTTCGGCAGTGGGAGTTTAAACGCTTGGAACACGCTTTAGCGCATCTGACAGGATTAGCTAGGGTACCAAATGAAACATGGATTCGAACATTTCAATGGCAAATTGGACAAGGTTATGTTTTCTACCTGTCCCCATTTCTCCTCATTTCATGGAGGAGCTTTACTCAATGGTCTTTACTCGAGTAACGTACCCCTTCGGCCGACACCGTCAATACATTCACAGCTCCTGGGTGACCAGCAGCATGACCAATCCATCCGAGTCTCGCGGTGTGAAGGACGACTTCATCTTGATTGAGTTGCATGAAGGGAGTTTTTCCCCTGGGAAGGTTGCAGTAGAAATTGACTCTGTTGCTGCTGCTGCTTTTCTTGACATCGCCCGACAGATACATTCCAATCCAGTGCTCATCGAAACCGCATTTGGTCGGGCGACTGCTTCGAAATTGGAGTTTCATCATGACGGAAACTTTGCTACTATTCGAAGCAACGAGCTTATGAACGGGGACAGGGGTTCTCACGCGCTGGTGTTGGTTCCTCCGGGGACGATGGGCCGTACCGACGCCTGGGGTCGACAGGGGGGCGCAGCCTCGTATCTTGATGGCGAACACGTCTTATCGTCGCTCGGAATCTATCACTGTAAATCCAAAATGGGTTCGACTAACCGAGAGGCTCATGTCGTCACTGTGATTCCTAGCGATCTGGTGGCAGTCAATGTGACTTCCGTCACTCCCGGTTCCATCCGGTTGGAAAAGTCGCTTCATCCGATCTCGATGATTGGTAGTGAAGAAGCTATGTCAGTGGCTGGGAAAACGGTAAAAGGTGAAATTGCTTACCTGCGGGTTTCTGCAGCTATGGCTGCTAGCGCTCTGGCTATCTCGGCTTGTTTTTGGCTGCGAAATTCGAAGCATTGTGGTTGAGTGAGCGGGACGGTGTTCGTTGATAACTTGCGATAGCTTGCACAGCTGAAGTCTCCCATTTAGGAAGCCTCCGTTGTTCAAGGTGTACATTGCAGCTGCAGAACGGAAGAGGCAGGCTACTATGCCTACATGTATTTCAACTCCACCAGCCCACATGCACAATTAAAACTTGCTTCAAAGGTGGACTGGCTGCAATGAATAATACTTACTTGAAATCAGGAACGCACGCACCAGAACCATTGAAGATTCGATTCAATAACTACCCTGCTATGCTGCGATAAAAGATGTTTCACATGAACCCTTTGCAAGATGTCTTTGATACCTGGTACAAAGCTGTTAGTGTACAAGCGCATCATCAGGATCGCTGAATTTTCGGAGTTCCAGCTTGCCTTATATAGTTACCAAGACGAGTATGTACCAATGTGATATGTGATGGCCATCGTGGCCATTCCTCCCACACACAGTACTAGAGTAGAGTATCAAAGCCACAACATACATGTGATAGCCATGTGCGTACAGACTGTATGGTACCAGTTCCGGCTCTACCTTCAAAAAGACCACTCCACTCCCACGAAGAAATTTAGTGGGAGTGGCATGCTTTGCGTGCCGATTAATATTGATCCACAAATAATGGGACTTGATTCGAGTTTCGGGGCGAAAGCATTCCGAGGCGAGGAGATGACGAACACTCCCCCATGGCTCACAGGTGCGTTGAGCTGATGATTTTTTCAACCTGGATGCCTCACATTTTGGTTTCGCCTTTGCCTCGTCTGAAGCAGCACCAAGACACGTACTCTGCAGCCAAACAAGCAAGTGAGAAACTACATCAACAGCGCTTAACCGTCTCTAGCTTTTGTGGAACAGGAAGGACAGCGGAGTCGCAACAAACGATCAAAATGGTATCATTTGCAGGTCGCCGAAGATGCAGACTGATGGTTGGACTATTTGGGATTCTGTTGGTTCCCATTGCAGCTCGCAGTTGGATTGATATCGTCGACCCATTAGAACTCACTCTTCATGATTCTGCACTGGACTTCAGAGCATTCGAAGATGATCCATTTCTGGATATGGAAACAACAACGGCACCTCCCTTTGGTCCATTCCCAACGTCAGGAGCCTCTCCGGGCCCTCCTCCAACTCACATAACTCTCCCACCAACCAAGGCTATCACTCCAGAACCCACCGTAACACCAGAGACACCCCTTCCGACGGCATCTCCAACCATCGCTCCTACCATTGAGACGACCCCGGCACCAACGATAAATCCATACCCTGAAAACCCTGTCCCCGACTTTCCGGATCCTTCTTACTTCAACTATGATCCCAATCGATCAAACCCATACGGCCCGGGGTATCCTCAATTGCAACGATACAATCAGACAACCTTGGTCGTGGGATATGAGAACAATGGCTGGGCCATCACGGGGGTTCCAGCGAACTTTTACTGGAACGAGTTTGACGATGAAAAGGGTTCTGGGCCTTGGCAAGGAGTGTTGGCGGTAAGACGACCAGAGAGAAATCTTTGTGATCGAATAGGGGAACAGTCACCTATTGACGTGAGACCTAGCGGGGCCACGTGCGAGGAGCATCATCAAATTCGAGTCCGGGTGAGTACATTTATTTCTACTTGGTGTCTTGGTTGGCAGACATGGGGTCTTGGTGTTTTTTGTGGTGTTCCATGCCTGTCTAACCTTGGTTCTCTCTGTTATATAAATTAGCCAGGGGATTTCAAGGTGTCGGGGGCAGAGGTGGAGAAACAAATCCACCCCAACAAACTACGCCTGAAATACCAACGAAGGCCTTGTGCAGGTAGGTCGAGTGGCTCCTTTGACGGATAATGGACTGGCTTTCTTGGTGCCTTTCATGATTTCATCGCACTCTCTCTATCTCTTCTCTTGTCAACGTAGATCCTGAGAACGAACTGTGCGCAGAGCCAGATCCACCTCATGCCGATTTTCCACACAATTGGGGCGGATACGCCGATTTGATGCACATCGATTTCAAGGTGCCATCGGAGCACATGATCAACGGCACACGGTACGATGCCGAGATGCAACTCGTCCACATGCACCCGTCGAGGCGGAGGACCCCTACTGTGAGTGTCATGATCCAAGCTACGCCAAAAGGATACAATTACTATCTGCAAGCTGCGCTGGATGCCTTTGAATACGTCTACAATGTACATCGAGCACAATGTGCGGCCAAGCGGCGGAAGGAGCGGCAACTAATGACGGACATTCATCAGCTATTGGGGGAGAATGCAAGCAGGAGCGGCGATGCGCATGCAAAAGATTTCAACACGTGGGCACATTTCAGTACCGATCTAGACGATCCCGACTTTGAAAGGAATCGCAAACTCCAGGAACGCTTGCTGCAAAACGGTGTATGGGATCCACATCATATTCAGCTGGTGCCAAGCATATACTTTTACGGCTACGAAGGGTCCCTTACTGAGCCACCTTGTGGGGAATGGGTGACATGGTTTATCTGTGACTCACCAATGATTATCTCAACGTCACAGTTGGAGCAGATGAAGAAGCTGATTTTCTCACACATTGATGGGGACTGCAATCCGACAAGCGTTCATTATAAGCAGAGCGTAGCCCGGCCGATTCAAGATTCAGGAGGCCGACCCGTTTGGCACTGTACACAAGATGACTTTTTGCCGGATAACTTTTGAGCGTACCGGTAGGATAGCAGCTACGAACCCCAATCACTTGCCTCCTGCTCATCAAGCACAGAATCGAAAGGATGGAATCTATCAAGGTGACAATAGTCTATGTAAGCAACAAAGCGAGGTATGATTCGCTTAGGGAAGTTAAAGCCATGGAACTAGCTATTTCATAATATACAAGCGTTTCCCAGGAAAGGGCCGTTTGGTCAGATTGGATTTGATTGGAATCCTCTCCATTGCCATATTGTTGTCACTTTTGCAAGCAACTTGGTTGGCCAAAGGTATGCTCCAGTAGAGATACGATCCATGGTCTATTCAAAGAAGGAGACGGCATGCACAGACGCCTAGCTAGGGATCACTCCCCGGCCAGCTCAGAGCCGTTTTAAATTAGATCAATACATTGCTGGAAACTTGTCAATAGTGTCCAACTTCAATAACTATGTTTATGTTTGAAGGATTAGTCTGTCTCTCAATCCATCAAGTCCAAGGGGGGCCAGGAAGTAACCTTTCCAGTGCCTTCCAACCAACTTTCCAGCCAACTACTGCCTTCCAGTAGATCCTCCTTCATTCCATCTTTCTTCCACCTTGTCGTCTGCCAAACAGTCCTGTCAATGCCAACCGAACTGTGCAGCAGAGGCATCGAACTTGGCAACATAAGTCTCAACCAAAGCGCTGCAGTGGTGAGCTGAATCTCGTTTTTGAGTTCAACGTCTTCCTCCAACAAGCCAACCTGTTGGCTGGCACAGACACCGGTAGGAACACCTGCCATAGCAATTTGTGGGCCACACTGACCTTCACTTTTAAAAGGGGTTACTTCAATTCCAAGCTGTTTGAGCATTGACAAATTGAAAGTGGCACGGTTGGCATTCCACCATGTCAAAGTCGTTGTCTTTCAAGCTCTCAGCTTCCTCAAAAGCCTTGAGCAAATCCTTGCGAGAAAGTGACCCAAAGGCAAGGTAGGTGTGCACCCATGCCAAGATCAAATTCGTCTCTGTCAACATGATACACATGTGTATACTTTCCATCCTACTTGTTGGAGTTACTGGAGTCATGCATCTTGACAGGCACGGGCGCCCATCTTCCACTGCCTTTTTAGCTGGCATGGCATGGAGGGTAGGTGACCATTTACCTCTAGTGCAAGATGATAGCTCTGGGAGCGACATGCATGACTCCCGACATAATCATCTTGCACCTCTAGTGTCAACACAATATCCTGCAACTATTGGCATGTCCACGGCAAAAGTGGCAACATTGAAGTGAAAGAAAGCTTCATGATGGCGCTTGAGACAGTCGAGTGCCACGTTGGGGAGTCACATCATAGCCAGAGTGGACTAAGAGGCAGCATCAGTACATCAACGAATGCAGTGTTTCTCTGATCTTATTCCAGAGTTTTGCTGCGTAGCTCTCTGTTGTGGGCAAGCTAAGGAAGCTTGTTCCTGTTGCAGTGCTTTAATTAAGTTATCTATGGAGTTTGGAGTTCTGGGCTCTCTAGCTAGAAAGGCCCTTCCTTCAAGTACAGTGGATCATGTTGTCGAACGGACATGCGATGGCATCTGAATCATGGGGGGCGGATGATGCTTGCTCTGTGCTTGGTTGGAACTGGCGGATTGGGCAGTCGATTGGCAGCGGGCACTGTTCAGCGGAACCATGGACCTGGTTTTCTCCAAACGCCGCGAATCGATCATAGGGAGATGACTCAAACAGAGCAGCGGGTTCGCAAAGATCCATGTTCTTTTCAGGAAGGTGCAGGGGTTCAAAGGGATTCGTATCGTCGCCATAGTTGGGTGGAAGCACCTTTGCAAGCGTATCAAAGAGGCCGTCGTCGTTTAACATTTGGGGGCTAGTGTTCACGCCATCGCCGTTGTACGAGGATACCACGAGCGGACTGGCTGGAGGTGGCGATGGTGGCTGCTGCTGCTGCTGCCGCCGCCGCCGCTGCTGCTGCTCCGTGGTGCTTGGAGGGACAAGGTTGGCGAAGTTCAAGCTGGCGGCAAAGTTCAAGCTGCATTGCTGGAGTTTGGCGTGGGTGCTGTCGTCCCTGGAATCAGCATTGGCGCGAGCCATCTTTCTGCGCTGCTTCTTGCCCTGGCTGCTGGAGCGGTAGTTGCCCAGTGCATCTCGGAAAGTCTGGGATACCTTCTCTCTCCCAAGATACTCGCAGACCTGAGAAAAGGGAGGCAGAAACGGGTCGCGACAAGTGAGTTTCGGATATGGCACAATGTTGTTTCTTGGTTTGCATAGCCCATTGTGAACTTACCGTATACCAGAGGCTGGATGAAGTATCAAACTTCAAGAATCCATCCCCATTTTGAGTCTTCTCTCTGATTGCCTCCATCACTTCGGAGATGATGAAGGACTTTTCGGACTTCTCAGCATTGGAATATTCTTCTAGTCTATCGGCGACCATCTTTCGAAGAGCACGGTTGCCACTGTGATTGAAGCACTTCATGGAACGGCCGAGGATCACATCATTCTTCCCCGGGACGAATCCTTTCTGCATGTAACAAATATCTTTGGTGGACTTGTCGCTTTTGGTCGCAAAGTAGGCAGGGGGCTTGCTGGCAATAGGAGTGCCGCCATCCAATGCGAACTTGCTGGGTTTAAAAATCAAACTCATGTTGAAAATAGTATCGAAGGTAGTGTAGGTTGTTGGTGTTTGCGCTTTGTATTTTGGTGTTTTGTTTGATGGATGTCTGAATTGTGAGCAGTTCGGATTTTGGTTGTCTGATCCAGCAATAAACTGACCTGGGTTTCTTGGGATGCATCCAGCATCTCTCGTGGCAAGAGCTCTGACAAGCTGCCTTGTCCGTGTAAAGACAGTAGATAGGTGATGATGATGGTTGCCACACTACGTAGTCCGAAAGGCTTGTTGTCGAGATCGCAGAGCCACCAATTCAAGCAGTTTCCAAAAAATGTTAGGCTTCCCGGAATTCCTTCGACCTCTTTTAGAGATTGTTCCTTGGTTCAAGGTTTTATTAGGAGCAAGATTGAAGTTTCTAAGTTGAAGAATCCACCTTGCTTCCGTAAGCGCGTGAGCGCTTCCGTAGCTAAACCCAAGGAGCACTGGAGACTGGAGTACACTGTACGATTATCGATAGAACTGCGATAGCTAGCTAGTCTACTGGTAGCAGTCTGCGATCGATACGATTAGTTGTGCTTACTACTAGCTTACCGGTGCAATAGTACTAGAACGGTACAGGTACGGTACCGGCAGAGCTCCGGTAGCAAGGACGTCTGCATGAGTCTACTAGCAAAACAGGTCTTGAGAGCTTCAAAGCCAGGAAAGCCACTGGCACAATCTTACTTTTATTACAGTACCCTCTGGTGCTCCCTCTCGTGCAACTTTGGCCAGGGTCTGCTTTTTTCGGCACCGTGTCTTCTACCACTGACGATAAGAACTAACTTGTATCAATTTGGTCGCCATCCATCCTTTCTCTCTAGAGGACCAAAGAAGGGCATGGTTTGCTGTTCGCTAGGCCTACTGCTGAGTCTCAGTAGCCGAACAAGGTTGCCACTAGCTGGGTATTCATGGGTGAGGGGTGAGGGGCACTGTAGAAGTAACGGTACTTCACGGTGACTGAAAGTGCCATTGCAGCAGCTAAAGTTCGCAGCTATCATACGTCGCACGGCTCTCGAGCTCCTCTTGGATCAAACAAAACCAGTTGCTTTCACTCTGGAGTTCTACAACTTATGACTTAATGACTTCAACAGAACATTTAAAGAAGAAGAGCCATGTAAACAGTAAGACCGGTATTAATCAATAGTAACGGTAAGCTACAAGAAGCTGTTCCGTATACTAGTACCTCTTGATTGATTCGAGCCCAACCAAAAGATCCTTGTGGCTTGTACATAATATGTAGTATTGAAAAAATTGAACGTCTTGATTTCACTGGGGAAAAGCATCAGACACACTGGATGAGGCACTGTCGTATGGGTCCATGAGCTGTCCATGTTTGCAAATTCAACTCTTTGCTACGCTAAAAAGTTCTAGCAAAGCCGCAAAGTTCAACGAGCTCTTGTTCAAGTGGTCGCAATAAATAGTTCGTCAAGATCAATCGTATGGTAAGAGCCATGCATATGGTCAGCAAGAGACCTGCATCAAAAGCCGTCCCAAGACTGGACTCCGGCGGCAACTGTGTACTGGTACCAGGGTGTTACCTTGCACAGCATACCGATTTCGACTACATGTATGGTTGCTCCACTGACCGAAATAGCGGGAGTTGCCAAACAATCTGAAACTTTTAGCAGCTCTTCTTCCGAGCGTTCAAGTTGTACATTGTCTAGGTACATCCTACTAGCAACTAGTAGAGCTTAGCTAGTACTTACAGTGCAATTAATCCCCACCACCATTACCAGAGCTCTCAAGTGCGGTGGTCTATAGGTCGCAGAAGAAAAGCTGTAGAAGAGAATCGAATCTGATGTAGAAGAGTTCTGGGTGGATCCAACGTCCGAAGGATCTTGAAGAGTCTTCAAGCTTCTTTTCTTCTTTTCCAGTTTCGGCTCACAACCCAAGATGGCCTTTAATTCAACACTTACTTTACTGCCATAGTGCATAAGAATGCTTTGTCCTTAATTCAACATTTTCTGCCAAAGTGCGTAAGAATGCGTTTTGGAGTGCCCTTTTCTTTCGATTCTGCTCTTTGGGGAATGGACCATTCAGCTTCAATAAGAAGCCTTAGAAGGCAATGGGCTGTTCCCCTGTCCTTCTGACTGCTGACAGACAACAATACATGAGCTACTGTAGTAAATAAATGTAAAGTGGGGACGTCCCGGTACTATCACTCTGGAGTAGCTCTAGCTGTAGCTCTATGATATTGCGGTGCCGTCCACAATGGCGGAGTTTGTTCACTGTAGAGTTTTTCGTTGCCGGATGCAGATAACAGTGCGACGAAGAGACCAAGAGAAAAGAAACAGGATCATCCCTACCGATACCAGCACATTGAAAGACGGATAGATGGGGCGGAAAAAGGCCAAATCCAACATTGTCCGGAAAGCAAAAGTGTTGGGCCTTCAACCAAGCCCAAGCCCGAGGAGACGTATTACGCAGCGGCCGCAGAGAAGCCGCAGGCAAAAAGAAGTTTTCATGCTTCCATGAATGTGGGTTGAAGCACGAAGTGACAAGGAACTGCATGAGCAACTCAATGCTACTCAGTAGTTATAAGTAGCCATCGCGCTTTCACTAGTTGCCTGCCTTTGGGACGCAATTGCTTCAGGCAGAAGAAAGGTGACAAAAGAAAAAAGTTGCAGATTTTCTTCTTCGTTTTAGGCTCGGGCCGTGTTGTTTTAAGCCACACAGGACCCCCCGAGCTTGCTGCTGGGGTTGGTGACTGAATCAAGTTTTCCAAGTGGATTTGCGATATCAATTACGGCGCATGTAGACTACATTACATTTCTGCGCTTTGGGTGAGCTGTGCTCGGGGTATTAAAATCCCTGTATACTTTTACAGCTCAACGGGCTTTAAAAAATCAACTCCCGCAACGAAATCTAAGCATTCGACACCGCAGAAGTCCCGGTAACCATAAAACAATAGCCTGGACCGTCCGACCCTTTTTGCTCAGGTTTAAAAACTGCTCAAATCGTGGTTCTGGTTAAGGGAATGTTAAGGGAATGTTGAAGCTTTAAGGGAATGTTAAGGGAATGTTGCGGATTTAAAGGAATGTTTTAAGGGAATGTTTATTTAAGAGAATGTTCATTTTTTTTAAGGGAATGTTCTATGGGGTTTACATGAAGGCTTAGAGGAATGTTTCGAAGCGTTAAGGGAATGCTGTTAAGGGAATATTGATTTAAGGGAATGTTAAGGGAATGTTAAGGATTTAAGGGAATGTTTTAAGGGAATGTTTAAGGGAATGTTTCAACTGCAAAATTTTGAGTTTTTTTAAAACCTGAGGGAAAACCGTCGGACGGTCCTGGGGGGTGATAAAGTCCAACAACCAGAGTTGCCACCTCTGGGGGGAGGGGGGGGGGGTTAGAGTAGGGAGATTATCTACAGAAGCCAGCCAGGGCCAAACTTAAAGCAAAGAAGAGTCGAAATTTAGGATTAAGTTCTGTGGGATCAGGGGCAAGAAATTGAGGACCATTAGGGGGGCCAAAGGGTTTGGCGTTGCGGGATCCACAGAGACAGAAAATGGGTAGCTTTCACTAGCTAGGGCAATAGAGATGTGGGTCTGCATGAAGAACATCATTTGAGTATGAGAAATAGTTTTGTTGGCACTAGAGATGCGGGTCTGCATGAAGAACATGGTTTGAGTATGAGAAATAGTTTTGTTGGCACTAGGGCAATAGAGATGCGGGTCTGCATGACGAAGATCATTTGAGAGTATGAGAAATAGTTTTGTTGGCAGCCGCAGAAGCAAGGCGTTTTCTTGCTTTGCTCACTCACTTTTTGCTAAGAAATTCAGGCTATGATTGCTCTTTTTGACATCATGAGTGGGGGAGCAGGTGAGATACGTGGTTAGAGTTCTCTGATTCCACACGCAAGGTTGCTTCCTCGCCCGATTTGGGACCCGATGCCGTTGTCACATTTGGACTACCACTTGCCAACCCCGGCGGAGTACAAACAACCTTGTCGAGCTTCCCCTGCTTCACTTCGCCGTTGACCCGTCCTCCGAATATAACCTTTCTAGTGTCATAGAAGATATTGATGTCGTAGGGCTCAGAGTTCCAAATGAAGTGTCGAACGTAATCATCCACGTCTATCACTGCCATGATGTCGTAAACCTGCTTGCCAGGAATAAGTTCCCCGTTTCCATAGGTTGTGAAGGATGTGAAATTTACCACTGACGGGTAGTCTGATCCTGGGATATAGGACCAGTCGATGTTGATGGCATGGGAGTTGATAGACTTGTCCTTCAGCTTTTCGCGTAGACGCTTTTCAAAGTATAGATTGTTTTGGCAGATAAAACCCTTGACATCTGCTCGAAGACAGATCCCGCGAGCAGTACCGGTACGGGTATGTGAGAAGGTTCAAAAGCCATCCGTGCTTCAGATCAATGGAGAAGGGTATCCACTTACCTTGCTCTGTGGGCACACCTGTCCGAGAATCATATCCAATTTGTATAGAGAACGTCGCCATTCTCCTGTCATCCTTCTTTTTGCATTTGACTCCATTGGGAATCTTTGATGCTTTTATATCCTTGCCAAGGCTGCCACTGAAGAATAGATTCTTGGAAAAGTAGAAGACATTTTGCTCCAATGGGACAGCGTTCAGGATGTACTTTTCCGTCAGGAACTGTACATCCGCTCCTTCCATGATGGTGAAAATGTCGTTCCCGCGGACATGGGATCCATCTCCATAAAGCGAGAGCAATGTGAACGTCACAACGGCTGAAAACTGATCCACTGAGTTGTATGTCCAATCAATGTTGTTGGCATAGCTAATAATGGACGGATCTTTCAACCCTTCCCGGATTGATTTTTGGAAGAACTTGTTGGCCTCACAAATCATTGCCTCGATCTCGTCACGAGTGGGTTCTCGTTTCTTGTCGTCCTCAAACTCGAACTTGATTTCAAAGTTCGCCAAGTCCGTCGAGCGGACCATGACAGGACAGTTGGCCTTGGCCAGTGTAGTCTCGGGCTCTGACTCGCGGATGGATGCTCCTCTGAATACCAACCTGTCAACTTGTGCGAATATGTTGAATCTCTCGGGAAAGGACTTGGCCACGTAGTCGCCAATGAATTTGGCTGATTGCACATCCGTCAAAGCCAGAACTTTGAATATTTCCAGATTGGAGACCTGTGTCCCATTTCCAAAGTAGGCCTCCAAGGTAAAGTTCATTTGAGCTGGCATGTACTCATCCTGCGAGTACTCCCAGTGAATCATGGTAGCATACGAACCAATGGAGTCGTCCTTCAAGGATTCCTTCAATTGATGGTTCAGGAAGCGATCAACCTCGCAAACAAGGGCTTCCCATTCCATGTCGGTAGGGGCTCGAGATGATTCTTCTCCTGTATCATAGAAACCAATTTTCAGTGTCAAGCCATTGGCAGCAGCGTAGTCTGTTCCATTGTAGACTTCCTTCGGTGGCCCTCCTTCCCAGCAAGTAACGAGCATGAGAGAAAGAAAAAGAAACGCGTTGTGAGCAAACCACCCAGAGAGAGGGACAAGAAAAACTATCAGTCCGCAGACGAAACTTACCTTCTATTGTTTTCTGCGCCATTGACTCTGGTTTGGCACCCTTGGGACAATCTACTACTGGGATCGCGCCTGCTACGCGATCCACAATGGCAGACTGCCACACCACACCTCGTGCTTCAAAGAAGAAATTCTTGGAGACTGGAGCTGCTTTCCAGACATGCTTTTTCAAGAAATTGCCGTAATCAAAGCTGGGCAGTGAGTCTTCTACATCATCCAAGCTCGGTGGAGTTCCGCCTTCGATGTTAGAGACTTCCAATGTGAAGTTGATACTGGCTGGCATTTCCACCAGGACGCTATTATCCCCCTCGTAGAGAAAGTCTCCAAAGGAAAAGTCGGCTTCTTTGGTAACTACAGCAATAGCGGAATTGCTCATTTTCTTCTGCAGCGACTTGGAGAAGAATACATTTGCCTGGCATAATACGGCTTCGACTTCTTTTTGGGTGGGCCGCCGATCTGCAGCCAACAATCCCTCGTCCTCAAAGGCGAACCGAAAGGACATGCGAATCACCTTTTCCCCATTGACGGCTACATTGGTTGAGACGAACAACAGTACAAAGGCAAAGAGCGCTCGGACTGATGTGAAGGTCGTCATGGTCGTATCGTTGCTATTGCAAGTAAAAGGAACAACAGGAAACAGTTGCCAACTTTGCAACAACGGAGAAGATGCACCAGGTGTTGGTGTGATGACTTTCTCGGAAACTGGCGGCACTCAAATCCTCGGAGAGATTTAAAGGAGTCTACTTCTGTGTTTGGCAGGCTCGACCGTGTTTGCCCTGTTCAATCCCAACTGTGACCGCACCAGAAGAACACTTATCATTCTCCGGGTACGAAGGATTTATAACTTCACTTCACCATCCTCTGTCAGTACCGTTTGTCAAAGATATTTAAGAGAAGGTGTTTCGAGGAAGGATTTGTCTCACAACGCCAGCATCCGGCAACGAAAGCAATTGACCCTCGCGATCGAAAGTATCATCAGACTGTGGAAGATATACCAGGTCCCTTTGTTTTTGATCCATGATGAGAGGAGAACAAGATACCCAAGAAAGCGGAGCAGCTTGCTCGTGCGACTAATAACAGGGCAGCTTCAGCAGAAGATACAGGTAGAATAGAGTCTGGTTGAATGCTTCAATGACAATCGCATGGTATCAACGTATCATCCTCGAACAGATCATCCAACAAGCGGCAATCGTCGACCATGACCAGAAGCTGGATGAGAATATATGTGTTGCTGGTCTTGTTGGGCTACCAAACATGCGCAATTGATCTCAACATTGGAGGTCAAACCGTCAGTAGCGGGATCGGTGGCAATGTTGGCGGTTATGACAATGTTCGCTTTGAATTTGAATTTGGTCTCCCAGAAGGTGTCGTGACGGGACAACCAGAAGTGGAAGCACTCATTTGTCGAACACAAGACTTTCTAGCAGACAATCTCTACACCGAGTTTCAGGACAGCACCCTCAATGTCAAAGCAACCGAAATCAAGTGGGAATTCAACAAGGATGACCCAAAGCCAGTCAAGGTCACGTTCACAGCTTCAGTTACATCCAACGCAACAGATGTCCCATCACATGAGCAAATTAAGGAAGCTGCAACAGGATTGGATATGGGAACTTACCTCGACAACTATGTGAAAGCAACCAAATGCCCCACTGGCTTTTCCCAGGCCACGGAAGCATCCTATGAAGTCAACTTGACACCAGAAATTGAGGGCGATATCGCCGAGGCCAATTGTGACAGCACGTGTGCCCCAACTATTGCACCTGGGCTACCAACTGGTAAGAGTGACACTGGGGTGGTCGTCGCTACTTGAGCTAGCAGTAGTTGTTGTGGCTGATACCTCTAACCGTCGGTTCTGTTTGTCGTTCTTCTGTTCTGTTTCGCATTCATCAGGAGCCCCAACCAAACTGCCAACTTCCAAACCCACAGATACACCACCTCCCAAAGAGGCATTTCAAACGGAAGAGCACGTCGAAGACCAAATGAGGCCGGACTACACTCGTGCACCGAGCGTTACCGCGCTGAAACCAGTGTCCTTTGCGAATCCGGCATATTTACATCCAACGCACATTTCACCAACCATACCGGAGCCACCACTGTCATCCTCGGCAGATAGCGGCCCTGGAGGAGGAGCAGCAGGCTCTGGAGGTAGCGGCGCAGGAGGAGGAGGCTCTGGAGGTGGTGGTGCAGGAGCAGGAGGAGGAGCAGGCTCTGGTGGTCCTGGAGGCTCAAGCGGATCCAACCCATCAGGTGGGGGATCAGCTGGTGGAGATAGCGGCAATGGTAGTTTGGGCAGTGGGTCTGGTGGTGGTGGGTCCGGGCCTGGATTTGATGGTGGCGGCAGTGACATTACAGGAGCGTCAATGGACTCTACGATGGGTGTTGATGGAGGGTCGCCCACAGGTGGCGCTGACGGTGGGCCATCTTCTGGTAGCAGTTCATCCAGTGGTAATAATGGTGGTGGCAGTTCGTCGTCGGGCTCGAATGGTGGGTCCGGGCCGTCCTCCGGTGGAGGCGAATCAGGCGGAGGGTCTGGCGGTGGATCTGGCGGTGGATCAGGTTCCGGCGGTGGATCTGGCGATGGATCTGGCGGTGGATCAGGTCCTGGCGGTGGATCAGATTCCGGAGGAGGATCGGAAAGCGGCAGTAGCTCCAGCAGTGGACCTGGAGGAGATGGAACCCCTTCAAATCCAAACCACAGTGATGCAGAAACAGGGCCATCCGACAAGATTCTGTTCAACCTAGAGTTCGGTTTCTTTGAAGAGAGACGATACCTTGAAGCTGGGAACGAGCCCTTGGATGACTCGGAACTGAAATCGCTGGTCTGCTATACGCAAGACTTTTTCGCTTCCGAGCTCCAGACAGTTCTTGGCGATGCCGGGATATCGTTCAAGGCCATTGATGTAGACTGGAATTTCGATGGGACAAAGCTTGAACTGTCATTTGCGGCTGATGTGAAAGATAGCAGTGGAATGGAAGTGCCCGAGAACGACGTGTTCCAATCGCTGAAGGTGGCCAGAAATGATCTTCATGAGTTTTTGGTGGACTATGTATCGAAAGTCCAGCCACCAAAGGGTCGGTCTGAGAGTAAGCTTTTCAAAGTGAACGAGGTAAGCAGAACCAACAGCAACCTATTCATTTGTTGATGTCTTCGGCCTGGCTAGGTGAGCCGATTGAAGAATGGAATAATCTCATCATGTGTCGATCCCCTTGCGTTTCAGGTGAACCTTCAAAGCCAACAGAATGTGCCGATTCCAATAGGCAAGCTGCCGAATGGCATTGAGGAATCTTGCTCTCAATTCCAGAATGAAACTAGCGAGAAAGGTATGTTGCGTGATACAGTGATGATGGTGCTGACCTCCGTGATTTGGATGCTCATTTGTACTCGCTCTACCTTTCTTCTGTAGAACCCGAACCGAGTGACTCCATAGCAGGTATGATTGATTCTGTGTCGTATTCTCTTTTGCATTCGATGGGGTGTCTCACCCGTCTAGTCTCTGTTGCTACGACTTGAATCGTCCCGGCCTAGATCAAAGAGGCATGTCTGGTAGGACCATTTAAAAAGTATCGTTTTCCACCTTTCTCTCCTCCTGTGGTGACGAGAACTCACTGTTTCTTCTTCTCTTCGGCAATAGGGCTTATTGATGAAGGAATCCTGTCCTACAACATTTCCTACAATGACACGGAAATGTCTCCGCGCGACGGCGAAAGCTTTCCGGAGGGGAACTCCACAGGTTCGATGACTTTGAAGCGCCACGACGGTTGCCCTCGCCCCGCTGCAACTCACATGTCCTTGTCCCTCTCGTTTCGAAGTTTCCGATGTCGTTTTTAAAGTTGAAATCGGTTTTTTCGAGGGTGATGCCAAGGAGCCAACCAACTTGGAAGTTGACTCTGTGCTTTGCGAAATCAGCAAGTTTCTTGAAAAAGAGCTGAAAGTTGCCCTATCCGACGAGTCGCTTGCAAATGAGGTGAAGCTGGTTGATTGGTCGTACCATAGCGAGTCCAAAACCCCTGTGTTCATTGAGTTCGTCCTGGATACTGTTTTGGAGAATGGCGATTTGGTGCCTCCAGAGACACTCTACGAGGCACTCAAGTTGGACAGAGCCTCCCTTGAAGAACTGATTCAGAGTTTCATTCAGAAGGCTCAGCCAAGTCCGAACGTGTTTCAAAGTGCCTCCCAGATTGGTTTCACAGCCAACATTGGCGTTCCCACGCACTCGCGAGAATCTTTGTCTCCTATCAACTGCCCTCATGGTAAGTATCTTATGATAATTGAAACCAATGCCTAAACCATGGAGCCTCAACGAACCTTGTCGTACTGTACTCTTTGCCAGAAAATCAAACTGAGCCTGTGGTGTCAGTGCAGATTTCATTTGGCTTCTCCTCGGAGAACATTACTGAGCCAAATGCAACTGAGATCGAGGCTCTCATCTGCGAAACCAATGTCTTCTTGGAAAAGAAGATACAAGAACATGTTGATGATGAACAGATAAAGTTGCATGCTGTGAACATTGACTGGATGCTGAATGAAAGCCTGCCCACCCCTCTTATTGTGGCCTTTGAAGTCAACGCAACTATGCAGGATGACACACCTCTGAATTCAAGCGATATATACGAATTACTGGAGCTTACTGAAGATGATCTGAAGATACTTCTCGAGCAAGTCCTGCAGTCTGCATTAGGGAATGCTTCAATTTTTCTCAACACAACTGCCCTCACCTTTGAGGAAAGCCTTGGGGAGCCTTTGCCTCCTGGAAAGCTGGAGGAAGCTCTGTGCTCCAACTCAACCTCACCAAATGGCAACGGAACAGTGGTGTCAGTGACAGTGTCATTTGGTTTCTCAGAGGAAAACATTACTGAACCGAATGTGACTGAAATTGAAGCTCTTATATGTGAAACAAATGTCTTCATGGAAGAGAAGATACAAGAACACGTAGGTGATCCAGAAATAGAGGCCCATGCTACCAACATTGACTGGATGGTCAATGAAAGCTTGACCACGCCCCTGCAAGTGATCTTTGAAGTAAATGCAACTCTTGGGGACGGCTCACCTTTAAATTCAAGTGAGATATACGAATCACTGGAGCTTGCTGAAGATGATCTGCAGATACTTCTCGAGCACGTCCTGCAGTCTGCAATAGGGAATGAATCCATCTTTCTCATCTTGAGTGGACTCACTTTTGAGGAGAACCTTGGGGAACCTTTGCCACCAGGGAAGCTGGAGGAAGCTCCGTGCTCCAACTCAACCTCACCAAATGGCAACGGAACTGTGGTGTCAGTGACAGTGTCATTTGCTTTCTCAGAGGAAAACATTACTGAACCGAATGTGACTGAAATTGAAGCTCTTATCTGTGAAACAAATGTCTTCATGGAAGAGAAGATACAAGAACACGTAGGTGATCCAGAAATAGAGGCACATGCTACCAACATTGACTGGATGGCGAATGAAAGCTTGACCACACCCCTGCAAGTGGTCTTTGAAGTGAATGCAACTCTTGGGGATAGTTCACCACTGAATTCCAGTGAGATCTATGAATCACTGAAACTTACTCAAGATGATCTGAAGATACTTCTTGAGCATGTCCTGCAATCTGCATTAGGGAATGAATCCATCTTTCTCATCTTGAGTGGACTCACTTTTGAGGAAAACCTTGGCGAACCTTTGCCACCGGGGAAGCTGGATGAAGCTCTGTGTAACAACTCAACCCCACCAAAAGATAATGAAACGGTGGTGTCAGTGACAGTATCATTTGGTTTCTCAGAGGAAAACATTACTGAGCCGAACATGACAGAAATTGAGAACATTGTATGCCAAACAAATCTTTTCTTGGAACAGAAAATACAGGAGAATGTTGGTGACGTCCAGGCACGTGGTGTCAACATTGACTGGTTGCTGAATGAAAGTTTGCCTACCCCCCTTCAAGTGATCTTTGAAGTGAATGCGACTCTTGGAGATGAGTCCCCTCTTGATCCCGCAACCGTTTTTGAATCTTTGAAGCTAGCTGATGATGACCTGAAGATCTTTCTTGACTTTTTGATGGACTCGGTGACATGGAATGAATCCATCTTTCTGAACTTGAGTGGACTCACTTTTGAGCAAACTCTTGGGGAGCCTTTGCCACTTGGAAAGCTGAAGGAGGCATCTTGTCCCAGCACACCTTCCCCAAAACAAACTACACCAAGTGGTGGCGATCAGTCACTGGCAGGTGTTCGTATCTCGTTTGGATTTGCCGAAGGAAGGAGACGGAGGAATAGGGACCGGCATCTGCGGCTCTTACTGGAGAACATTACTGAACCCAATGTGACTGAAGTTGAAGCTCTCATATGTGCAACCAATCTCTTTCTGCAAGAGCAACTTCAGTCGCAGGTTGGTAACCAGGAGTTGGAAGCTCATGCTGTCAACATTGACTGGATGACGAATGAAAGCTCACCCACAACACTGACAATATTGTTTGAAGTCATGGCATCCTTGGCAGATGGTCCTCCTTTGAATGCAAGTGATGTCTATGAAGGTCTCAAACTATCACAAGATGACATTGCTCGCTATTTCGAGGACTTTGTGCTGAAATTGTTGTCTGGGACAGACTCAATCTTCCTGGATGCAAGAGATCTTCTTTTTGAAGAGTTTCTGGGGGAGTCTTTGCCACCAGGGAAGCTGGAGGAGGCATCTTGTCCCAACATGACTTCGCCAAACACAACTGAGCCAAGTGGCGGCAATGAATCCCTGGCAGGTGTTCGTATCTCGTTTGGATTCGCCGAAGGGAGGAGACGAAGGAATAGGGACCGGCATCTGCGGCTCTTACTGGAGAACATTACTGAACCCAATGTGACTGAAGTTGAAGCTCTGATATGTGCAACCAATCTCTTTCTACAAGAGCAACTTCAGTCTCAGGTTGGTCACCAGGAGTTGGAAGCACACGCCGTCAACATTGACTGGATGACGAATGAAAGCTCTCCCACACCGCTGACAGTATTGTTTGAAGTCATGGCATCCTTGGCAGATGGTCCTCCTTTGAATGCAAGTGATGTCTATGAAGGTCTCAAACTATCACAAGATGACATTGCTCGCTATTTCGAGGACTTCGTGTTGAAATTGTTGTCTGGGACAGACTCAATCTTCCTGGATGCGAGTGATCTGCTGTTTGAAGAATTTCTGGGGGAGCCTTTGCCACCCGGGAAGCTCGAAGAAGCTTCATGCCCTAAGGAAAACAAGCCCAACAGAGTGGGTACGTCACATATTTCTTTTCTTCTTCTTTTCTTCAATAATAGAATTGATGAGGCTGTTGGACTCACACTTTGTTTCTTTCAGGTGGCTTCAATTTGCCCAGCGTACCTGGAGGTGCTGCTACTCCATCAGCTGCGGCACCCTCAGCAACGTCACACTTTGTTTCGTTATTGTCACCATCGGCATCCGCGCCAGGTCGCGGGTCAAACGAGGCACTTTCTACCTCTGACAAGCAAGACGCCTCTTACAACTTAGTAATGGGGTTTTATGACCAACCTTCTAGCGAGCGAAGCAACGAACCGGCTGTCGAGCCAAGCGAAGAAGAGATTGAACGCATGATGTGTGAAGTACAGAAGTTCTTCACTGGTCAACTGAATAAGACTCTTCAAGACCCCAATGAAGAGATCTCCATCACGAATGTTCAGTGGTGGTTCGATGAAAACTGTACTGTTCCGTTCCACATTCAGTTTGCGCTTGGGGCAACTCTTGGTGACGGCACAGAAGTCAGCACCGGGGAAATCTACGGCGCATCCAAACTTGGCGATGAAGACCTGTTGGACTTGGTAGGTAGCCATTGGCATGGTTCCCAGTTAATACTCCAAAGATGTGGGTGTCGTCCTCAAGCTCACTTCTCTCGTACCGGTACATCGAATTGCAGGTCGAAAACTATGTGTGGAAATCCGGAGGGCCTTTTGCGAATGTTAATCAACTGAAGTTCGAAGAATCAATGGGGACAGAAGTTGAACTACCAGAAGGGCAGATTCCTGAGCTCACATGTCCAGCAGAGGAAGCGCCAGCTCCGTCACCAGCTGGGCAGAGAGGCGGTACGTGAAGTTTTCATTCTTTCGAATCCTGGCCCTGGTGGTCCTAACGTACTTTCTCTTCTCTACAAGGTGGTTTACCTCCTTTAGGTCCTAGCCCTTCCGAAGGATCAGGTCCAAGCCCAGCCGAAGGATCAGGTCCAAGCCCATCGGAAGAAACGCCTGGTCTAGAGGCTTCTTATCGTGTAGTCTTCGGATTCTACGAAGGAAAAGCAAGGGAACCTTCGATGCCCGAGGTCGAGGCGTTGATTTGCCAGACCAACGATTTTCTTCAGGGGAAGCTGCAGGAAGCATCAGGCGATTCTGGTCTGGAAGCAAAAGCTGTCAATATCTGCTGGTCATACTCTCCAGATTGTCCAGGACCAGTGACAGTGACGTTCTATCTAGAAGCAAACTTTGGAGATGGATCTGAGGTCCCAGCTGAGAGCATTTTTGATGCTCTGAAGCTAAGCGAAGACGAGATGAAGACTTACCTTGAAGAATACGTGTGGAGTGCGGCTCCACAAGGAAACAACGTGTTCAATGAAGTAGACCGGGTTGGTTTCGATGACTCTATGGGCGAGCCACTAAACGGAAAGCTGGCTGAAGCTTCATGTCCAGCCGAGGGGCCCTCTCCTGCAGGGCCGTCATCGCCGTCAGGCGAAGGGCCATCCTCACCAGGCGGTTCTGAACCCAATGGTTCTTCGAATGACAATTCACCAGGTGGGCCATCTGGAGGAGAGTCTTCACCAAGCGGTAAGTGAATGTGCCATCAACTTAACTGTTGTCGCAAGAAATTCATTTGCTCAACTGATTCTTTTGGCACAGCGTCACCTCCAATGTCACCGTCATCCAGCGAGTCTAAAGAGGCACCACCATCCGAAAACGGTGGAAGTGAATCTAACCAGCCGGAATCCCCACCTGGTGGTGCACCCAATGGCAATTCGCCAAGCGAAGCCTCACCCAATGGCAATTCGCCAAGTGAAGCTTCACCCAGTGACAGCTCGCCAAGCGAAGCCTCACCAAGTGGTAAGTGTTTTATGTTGTCTACTATGGTTGCAAGCAATTCAGTCGACTCAACCGTTTCTCCGGACATAGCATCACCCCCATCGTCATCGTCAAGTGAGTCTAAACAGACACCACCATCCGAAAGCGGTGGAGGCGAATCTGAAGAGTCACCAAGCGACTCGAGTGGATCCGAACAATCCCCAGTGTCGCCAACTGATTCTGAACAACCGGCCCCAAACAGGAAGAGTGAGTCGGCCATGTTTGTTCACTTCTAAGGCGACCTCGGCATTGGAAAATGACATTGAACCTCATATTATTCGTCCTGTACACTTCTCCGTGTAAAGATCCCTTTTCCACAGAAACGGACGAAGCGACAAGTGATGCCAACGAGCCTGCTCAATCTCCAAAAAACGAGCAACCGGCAGGTAAGTGACTTTTAGTGAAACGGGGCGAACGTTGCGTTCTAGGACTTGCGCTAAGGATGTCTTTTCTTTCTCGACAGTTGAGGCAAACCGCAGCAATGCGATTTTGGTTCACATGGAACTTGGGTTCTATAATGGGACACTCTCCGAACCGACTCCAGAGGAGATCGAAGCAATGATTTGCGAATCGACCGAGTTTGTCAAGGCAGAACTTCAAAAAGGAAACCCCGAGGAGTGCATTGAGGAAGCAACTCTTAGCAAGATAGACTGGACGTACGATGAAGAATGTGACACGGTTCCAGTGACAGTGACCTACGCTGCACAGGCCAAGTTTTGCGACGGCACGGACGTCCCGCCTGACATGATCTATGATTCCATGAAACTGGACCCGGAAGATCTCAAAGTCTATTTGGAGGCGTATATCTGGGACTCTGCACCAGCGAAGGAAAACGTTTTCTATAACGCCAATGCAATGACCGTCGAAGGAAAACTCCATGTTCCCGTCAGACCAGGAAAGATTGCAGAGGTATCTTGCTGATTATATTTATGAAGCAACCATGTAACAATAGCCATACATCGAATAAACTGAACAACTAGACAACCAATGATACTCCCTCCATCCGATAGAGCACCTTTCAACTCAGCTCTATCCATAGCTACGATGAACGGTTGAGTTTTTCCAGTCGTTCGTCAGTGCCTTTTAGTTTTGTGCCATCCACACGCTGCAACTTGAGGTCCACTAGCGCAACGCGGAATGTGGTGGCATCCTCCTGCGTATCATCTCGTCGCACCAACGCCATCAATGCTAGTTTCCCGGCAGTGTTGAGGGTTCTCACATACCCAGCAATGGCATACGCCGATGGTATCGGGAAAGGAGCAGTAGCGTTCTTGTCGTCATGGACAACCAGTCGAAGGCCGCCAAAAGCGTGTCGTTCTTGTCGAGGACCATCGTACAATAACAAGTCGCACCCAAACTTGGCGCCACAGGAGAGGTAGAGGGGTGAGCTTCGATAGAGAACTTCGGTGACGGCTGCAAGATCAGAATCAAAGGTCGACCCGGATGGTGGTCGGATGGGTACGAGTCCCCAAGACTCTTGCCTTGTTTCGTTCTTCTCGTGGCTGGAAGTCGTTGTCTCGACTGTTTGGGAGTTGCTTTTCGTTTCGTTGTTGTTCGGCTGATCTCCTGGTGCCCGCATCAAGGAATCTGGCCGCATTCGAGACCAGACTTGCGGGATGATGGCATATGCCATACTCCTCATTTCTTCGCGGCCCCGGACCTCGAGAGCGGGCAGCATGCTCTCTTGGATGGCGGTAGCCCATTCCTGAGCCAACTCATCGTCTATAACGTAAGAAACATTACTTTTGGGAGGGATATTGTTGCCTGGAAGGAACCCTGGAGTACGCAGCGCGACGTGTGCTAGTGAAGGCGACAAAATGACGGGTGGCACTCCTTGACGCTCTCCCCTCAAATCGGCCAGTTCCTGTTCCATCAGTGACAGTTTGGGTGGAGATATTCCCACTTGAGACAATGCCTTGATTTCATCATTGTTGAAATTTGAATCATCCATCTGCTTCACGTCCTGATTGCTGTTGTCGGCTGCTGTATCACCCGCCGACGTATTGTTCGCTTTACTATCACCATTGGCTGACGAAGAATCTGTATTATTGTTCTGGCCATCCTCTTCCTTGGGTTTCTTGGCCAGGACAGGCCCCGTCTTTTCCCCTCTCCGCTTTCTCTTTTTCTTCCGAGGTGGTGGTTCATTCTTTTCTTTCTCGATGCGCCGTTGCTCTTTTTCGAGTTTCTTTTGCTGGGCGATTTCTAGCTTTTTGGCCTTCTTTTCCTGCTTGGTCATTCGTCGCTCCTGGCCATCTTCGCCCATGACTTTAAAGACTAGCGTCGAGACCTTTTGTGTTGTTGTTTCCTTTCGCTTCTCCTGATCCAACGCTTGCTTCACCATGCGACTGCTCGGACGGATGCGCTTCACACCCACATAGGTCGGCTCCAAACGGCCGGAAGGAGTCGAAAGATGCCGTACCAGCGCACGAGTGAATACCATAATGGCGCGGTTGTCGTTGTTCGATGGAACGCCGTCATCAGTGCCATCTGCTTGTTCGATGCTTTCATCGGTGGACATCCTGAATATCTATCTCGAGTCAGAGTCTGTTCCTGGAGGTCAAAGCAACAAGTGGAGGGTGGAGAGGCTTGAGCGGGTGCATGTTGTGGTTGAAGAGTGGTTAGTGAGACCAAGATTAAAACTGTCGAGCTGTCAAACAAATTATTCGACCGAAGTACTCGACTCTCTCCTTCAACAAAGGAAGAAGTCGCTGCAGGCGAAAATGACCTGTGGTAGCGATTTATGACTATCCAGTTACCAGATTACTAGAAATCAACCACAACCACAACAACCAAGTAGTAACACACACAACACTATAGCAACCTCTCTATCAACACCTCCTTCCTTCCTCTATCATCAGCCTTTTTCGGCTTATCAGGCGTGGAAGCCACTACCACAGCGCCGTTCGTTCGCCATTGTCGAAGCTACCGTTCGAAGCAACGTTCGAAGCTACCGTTCGAACGACGACGAGAAGAAGACGACGACGAAGACGACGACGCTACCGTTCGTTCGAAGCGACGGTCATACCCCATTGTCGTTCGCTTGTCGTGATCGAGAAGAAGAAGAAGAAGGAGCCTGTTAACCGTTCGTTCATTCGAAGCAGCGCCATTGTCGCCGATTCGAAGCTACCGATTCGGAGCTACCGTTCGAACGCGAAGAATGAGATCCTCATTGCCACCGATTGGCAGAGGGAAGAAGAAAGAAGAAGACAAAGACCTCAAGCGGCATAGCACAGAAGACCTCTCAAGAAGAAGGGGCTCTCTCAAGTGGAGCGAGAGGATAGAGACTTCCAAGTGGGAAGCAGAGGTTTGGACTTGGAATATTGATCCCTCCAGTCTGGATCAATTCCTGCCTCATTGTCACCAAAGAAATCGATTGAGCCAAGGAGAGGGGACGCCTGATCCAAGAGTTTTGGCCTAGACTGCCACAGACTGGGTGTGCAGAGCTCATTCCGTGGAATACAGCCTTACTTGTCTGGGTGTGTACAGTTTGCTGTTGAATAGGAGAGAGAAGAAGACCAAACAACTGTTGCTCATCAAGTGATACCGCAAGAGGAGAAGTAATTGGAGGCGATTGGCAGGCAATCTTGCAGCCATGAACAACTATCTAACAAATACCATCGGTATTGACGAACTAGCCACGAGGACATCATTGAATGATCAAGGATTGGATGCCTTCGTCTCACTGATACCTTTACCGATGCAGATATCAAGAGCATCTGCAGAACGTGAGGAAACCAGGGGTACCATTACAATCCAGCCATTGCGGCTGCAGCCACTGATGAAGCTGCCGCAGCAGTTCAGCCCAGAGAAGTTCCCAATCGTGGACGACAGCTGGGGTTTTCATTTGAGAAGCGACTATAACAACTACGGTTCTACAATTTTCAATGACACGAATCACAGCGTGAGTTCACATCCCACCAAGCCAGTTTGGCGAGTTGAATAGAGTTTGGGCTTTTACGAATCCGACGAGAAGAGATCGATGTTGCGGATCCCCACAATCTTGTAGGTCGAGATGTCCGCGAGTTCTTGGATATCTATTTGACAATGTTCTGAACGTCAAGCGAGGCGTTTGCGGTGACCCTCTGGCTTATGTTACGAGATACAAAGTCACTTTGCCAGGATCACCTGATACCGACACTGAAGATGAGGCTGACCCATGTTTTGGCCTTCCATCGCATCCTAAAGAATTGGTCCGAAGAACAAGACATACCGGACCTCATTTCATACAATACAATCAGGCTGTTTGGGACATCATCCGGTCGGTTACTCACGGTTGACCTGGTTGGACATGGTTCCAACTTTGCGCAGCGCAACAGAACGGCCGAGCAGCTTAATTGGCCATGAAGGTTCACTATCATGGTGATTCGTTCCAGGCTCGTACCAAGGCATCCGCGGATAGAGCCATTGAAAATACTTTCTTTGATGGGAAGCCCCGCAACTTCACTTTTGACCGCTACTGTGAAAGGCTTACCGAAGGCCGTTCACTCGATCTGGGAACCGCTGGTGAAACCTTTACTGAGGGCCGCAAGATTCGCAAGCATCTGTCCGGCATTACAGAACAAACCCTCAAGACCGCCAAGTCCGTCATTCAGGCAACTCCGCATCTACGCGGGAGTTTCCAGGAGGCTATGAAATACTTAGCCGGACGCAGTTGCATGTCGCTGAAACCCAATCGACCACAAGAAAAGTATCTTATCTGTAGTCTGGCCCTAGTTTTACCACTCGGTCAGTGGTGAAACAAGGAACGTGGCTAGGCGGTGGTAGATCCCAAGGGCGAGGCTATGGAAGAGGCGGAGGCAGGGGACGAGGCCTTGGTAGAGGCCATGAAGGCAGGGGTTTTGATCCCAATAAGCCCAGGAAGATATTACCATTCCCGATGAGTGGCCTCAGCTCACATCGGCGCACCAGCAACAGGCTAGGGACACCCGCGCTGGTGACAAGCGGAAGATTGCCGAGCTGCAGACACAGCTGTCAGATACCCAGTCCCAAGTCTCGGAATTGCAAGCCGGGAAACGATCCCGGACTGATTTTCCTGGCGGATCTAGCTTGGGCAATGCCATGAATCGGCTAGCATGAGTCTCTTCTGTTCGCACTCTGCGATCCGTTGCTCCTCATTTGCCATCATCTCGGATTGAGCTTGACAGCAATGCCGATACATGTTCCTTTGGGAAAGTGCTTTCGTGGTACATGACACGGGAGAAACTATATCCGTCGAAGGGTTTTAAACTGATCTTGGAACCATACACAAAGTA